AAAATAGTATATCACAAGCATAAAAATCTTAAGTAATTTAAGACTTCCCTGTCTAGGCTTCTTAGTTCATTAACAAAGACTAGTCTAATTAAATTAAACTAATATAAAATATTTAAAAGAATCAAAGGATTACTTTTAGTTAGGCAATCCACAAAGTGCCAAGATAAAAATTTCTATAAGTAGTTTGGAATGTTGCAGCTTGCAGTAATGATGGGTAAGACTATTAAATATTAAACATCTATGGTTTCTATAAGGGAAGTACAACCAAATCAGTGTGTAGAAATGTGGACAAGTACCTCAAACTTAATCCCATTTAAATTAATGTATGTGGAGATTTCAAGGTAAACATAAGTCAGCTCTGAGTTTCTTTCATTTCTTTTCTGCTTTATTAACAGCTCTTGAAAGTCGTTACTATAAACATTTCCAGTCTTCCAGACTGTTTCTCTTCTGTATGTCTGCATACGGAAAGTGCTCAAGTAAGATAGCACTGTAGGGGCTTCTTTATGAATAACGCTGCTGCTGAATAGAAGCAGCAGGGTTATTCATAAGTGATTGTAGACATCATGATCTCCACGCATGCACAAGCTCACTTCAGTACTGGTCTTCAGACGCAACGCACCCGTAACTACTAGAGAAGAGAAAGCTTCACAAAGGGGATGATATAGAAGTATCAGGACTCTATAACCCCCAAACAGTGTCCTTTCCTACTGAAAAGCACCCAAGATTCATTAACCAAAGCACTTGTCCAGATTTTCTTTCTATATTTACCTTAAAGTCTAAATAGCATTAGGAGAGGTAAAGTTGTGACATAAATTCACAAAAAAAGTATAAGTAATGGACAGCTAGTAAATCCTTAATAGATTTCAACAGGATGGGGCACAAGTTTATCTTAAGGGCCCTTTTATCTGAAAGGGCAGAGAGCAACAAAGTTATGAAAATAGAAACAGTTTTTGAAAAATGGCAAAGACTGATATTAGGGAATAATAACTGGGGGGAACAACACAAAACACTGAAGATTGGTGAGGACTTTCTAAAAATTATACATTTTCAACATAAAATGTACAAGCCGTATATTGAAAATATATTATGCAAACAGAAATAAATTGATATAAAAAGGTAACTGACTAAATGAAATAAACCACCTAATAACCACTAGAACAAATTAAAAATATATATACAGTCAATTTTTGGTATTCATGGTTCAGTTCCATAGAGTCACTGAAAACACTGAATTAGTGGATACATTGCTCCTGCAGAAATACTCGTTAGGTTCCTGCAAACTTCTGGTAACAAAGTTTTTGTTAAGCAATCAATACCTAACCTTGTTTTCTGTGTGTTTCTGTTTAAAGGCACCTTAAAAATATCGTCAACTCATTAACACTGAACTCACGGCCAAAAGCACTATAACTTATACCTGAATGATGTTTGTCTAACACATTTTCTCCATAAGGCACATCAGAGCCGGGAATGTGCATGTCAGATGACTCAAATATTTTGCTGCTCTGTGTCTGTGCATGAATAGCCCAGAAGCATCGTGAATGCTACTGGAGGTTACAAATAAGTTTTAGTGAGTAGGTAAATGTGTGAATACAGAATCTGTGAGTAATGAAGATATACTGTACCTGAAAATTAATGCTGATTTAGGGCTCATTTGTGTGGTACTAGGTTAATAGCATAAGTTCAGTTCCCTAATCTAAAAATATTTAGATGGTATATTAGGACATCTCTAAATCCCTTTTCACTTCTGAATTTCACAGAACCCTGGATCTCTAGTTAAATTCAGCTACACTGCACACTAGGTCCTCTATAAACCAAACCTATCCAGGCATATTTCCTTTTTTATGAAAACTTATGTACCTCTGATAAAGGATATGTTAATTTCCACCTACCAATCATCATGTGCTCCCATCCCCACATATACTTCATCTATCCATCCCTCCTTATTATCAAATATTAATCATGCACCGATGCTGGAGATATAGTGATCAATAAGACATGTAAGATTCCTACCCTCTGATGATCATATCTAGTGAGAGACAAACAATAACCATGTAAGCAAATCCATAGCAAATTCCAAAAGATGTAAGTGCAATGAACTGAAGTAAACCAGAATAATGGTTTGTAGGCAATTGTAGGTAAGATAATATTTTAAATTGAGTTACCAGGCAAGGACTTTTTAAGGAGGTGATGATTAAGAAGTAATACTTTTAACAATAAAGATAAATTAAAAATAAATAGATTAAACTTCATTCTAAAAAAAAGAAAAAATCTGAATTAGGTAAGAGATGAGGGAAAAATGCAAAGATCTAGAAGTTGAAGAACATCAATGGCAAATGCTGTGACATGGGAGTAAACTTGGCATTTTTGAGGAAAGGAAGGAAGGCCCAGAGGGGCACACCTTGACCCATGATAATTAAATCTGTGTTTTATTTTAGGTATAATGCAAAAACCCTGAAAGAATTTAAGCAGAGTAGTGTTATGATCTATCTGACATTATAAAAGTATCACTTTGACTGTGTGGAGAACAGGATATGTAGAACCAGGATAGAGCTGTGAAAAGGGGCAGTGTTGGGACCAGACTGATGGCCAGAAAGTAGGTCATATATGGAACATGTTTTGAAGAAAAAAATAAATGAAATATGCTGATAGACTGGCCCCGGGGTTAAAGAGAAAAAGTAGAATTAAGGATATTCTTTTTTAAAAAAAATGTATTTTATTGATTTTTTACAGAGAGGAGCGGAAAGGGATAGAGAGTTAGAAACATCCATGAGAGAGAAACATTGATCAGCTACCTCCTGCACACCTCCTACTGGGGATGTGCCTGCAACCAAGGTACATGCCCTTGACCGGAATCGAACCTGGGACCCTTCAGTCCACAGGCCAATGCTCTATCTACTGAGCCAAACCAGTTAGGGCAAATTAAGGATATTCTTTGAGTAAATAGAGATACACTGAAATAGTAAATACTAAAATGAGGAAGTCCGAAGGAAAGTGGCTTAGTAAGACAACACAATCAAAGGCTTGGTTCTAGTCATTTAAAGATGAGAGGCTTATTATACATTCAATATGCCTAGTATATAAATGAAGGAGGAAAAAAAAGACATAAGAAAATGAACCAGCCCAGCTGGCATTGAACAGTGGTTGAGCATTAACCTATGAACCAGGAGGTCACAGTTTGATTCCTGGTCAGGGCACATGCCCAGGTTACGGGTTCCATGACCAGTGTGGGACAGGCAAGAGGCAGCCGATCAATGATTCTCTCTCATCATTAAGGTTTCTGTCTCTCTCTCCCTCTCCCTTCCTCTCTGAAATCAATAAAAATATATTAAAAATAAAGAAAATAAGTCAAAATTAAAAAAGAACAGAAACTAGAGATAATAAATAAATGTAGTGTGAGCCAAACTATGACATAATTTTTTTCAATCCTAAAGCTTAGTAATAATTTATTCATTCACTCAATCAACAAGTATTTATTGTAACTACTCTGTGTTAGGCATGGTTCTAAGTGCTTGAGATGTAAATCTTTCCTACTTGTCCTTTGTACTATCCTAGTTTTTGGAGACATGGAATAAATGCATTTTCTGACATCACTTTTGTAATAAAATTCCATAAATCATTGGATTATATATTGAAAGACAGCCCATTGCTTAATTTTTGCAATATCACAACATATAAGTAAGGAGGTTATGAGGTAGATAATTTTTCAGTGAGCCAGTTGTTTTGTTTTCTAAATAGCAGGCAAATCCTACCCAATTTTAGTTTTCTGTTAACAATAAAATGTTCTAATTTGAATAATAAATTTGTAATCGTATTGTTCTATTAAAATAATAAAATGCAAATGTGAATCAAATGATCTCAGAACCAAGGTTTCCAAACATGCAAAAATGGTTGAAAGCATAAACATCATGACCACAGCAAGAAAAGATAACTTTTTCATGATAAAAAATTGTATGCCTTGGGAAATTAAATGGTTCATGCAAAGTGGTAGAGATGAGTCTCAAAAAATATATTACACAGCTTGCAGGCGGGGTGCAATGTTCTCTGGGTTTCTGAGTAAGTAATGCCTGGATTCCCCTGGGGCCCCTGCTGTGGGGACAGGGACACCACCACGGGTCACTGCACTCAGCACACCCAGGCAGCCTACGGGGTTCCCTACTGCCTTAAACTTGCTTGGACAGTGGATCAGTGTTCTAATCCGTGAAGTAATGATCTCCAGTTGTGGCATCTGGTACCCCCTGCCTGGACCTACCACCATATCTCATCATTCCTTCCCTTTTCACTTCGGCTCTCCATTTCTAGACTGATTGTAGCCTTAAACATACTCTGAAATTCCTGATAACTTCCCTATCGCTTGGCTTCTAATCCCTCAGTTCCTTTGACCTCACAAAAAATGACTCATTAAGCAGTTTGGTAATTTGGGGCCCAGACTTTGCTCCAGAATTCTGACTGGCCTTTAGTTTCATCTGCATCATCTAACACCGTGATGCTGGTGCCGACCTCCTCCCCCATAAATATTTTTCATGAAGGCAGAAGCTCCTAAGAACACTTAAACCCCTCTTTTTGATATAAACACTTTTCTGTGTCATGGCAAAAATGGATTTCCTCCCAAACAACAACAAAAAAGACAGTCTACCTTTTAACCTCTTAGTTTAGAAGAGAAATAAAAGTTCTATTATTTAATGGGCCTTTAAGACAGTTTTGTGAAACAAGCCCGTGCATTTGTCAGAAGAAACTATTGTCAGTACTTCAAACATTCTGATTCAAATAGCACAGATAATGTAAACGCACTTTAATCTCCTTGCAAATGTCTGCAACAAGAGAGAGGATGGGAGGAAAAAAACACATTGGCTCTTGATGTTACATTTTATAGGCAATCCTTTGCTTCTTGGCTGATTAAAACGCTGATTCTCTGGTTCTTTGCTTATTTAATGAGGATCCCCTTAAATGCCACTGTCATTTATAGAGGGTACACTCCAAGAAGGTTGCCTAAACGACTTTACCTCAAAGGCCTGAAAGGTCAGCCCGACATAGTAGCCTTCTGACACCATTATTTTCCACACACATTCTTTCATCGGTCTGTAATCATCGGGATAATTAGGAGACTGAATCTGTCCTTCATTTTTACGGATCTCACCTCCACAGATTGCTGGGGAAAGCAAAAATAAATAAGTAAATCTAGACATGACATTTCATTTTCTTCTAAAAATAACATTTTAGCTCAGTGCCTGTAGCTGAGTAATTCCATAAAGACCAGGTTATAAAAATCAAAGTTGGCCGGTTATACTGTTGTAAAAATTTAGATGGTTTAAAAAAAAGCCCCCCAAATTCTAGCCACTTAACTATAAATATTAGATAGTAGTCAGCACAGGCATATGTGCTTTTTTAATCACCACACTTTTACTCAAAATAAAAAGCATATTTTTAACACTTAAAAGCTTGAGAGATTTTACAAGTTTCGTGTGAGTCTGCTCTGTGATTCCCTGAGCTGCCGCTTTCGAGTTTTGACCTCAGGTACAAGAGCTGATCAGGAGAGAAGCTGCACGGAACTCTGGTCCCTGGCAGCGGACTAGCGTCATGTGCTCAACATCTGTGGCTCCGTCCAAATAATCCTTTTCACTGCCATGCAGTTAATCTTTGGAACAAAATACCTCCGTTTACTTAAAAGTCTAAGGGAAGCAGAAGTCTGCTGTCTTCTGAATTTCCTAAACTCCTGTCCGAGCAGAGGCAGGAGCACGAAGGGCCTTCTCCACCCACAACCAGGCAGGAGCAGAGCAAGGCAGGAGCACAGTGCCAGTGTATGTCTCAGAGGCTAGAGCAAAGCACCCCGCAGATTCTTCCCTGAATGCGGACCCTCTCCTTTAGACAAAGCGTGCTCCAGATGTGCACAATTACTTTCTGTGCAGTTTCCTCTAGCAGAGCATTTCAGTAGTACAGGCACCAAATAGACACAAATTCAATACGAAGGAAAAGGGTAAGTTCTTCACAATATTCTAAAATCATCATGAAAAAAAAAACCATTTGCCGTTTAAGAACTCTTGTGTCCTTTTTTCCCCCAGTACACATCCCTGAGTACATTTATATGTTACTACATCAATGGTACTAAAAATGCAATTTACATTCACCAAGTATTTTTATTAAAAATCATCCTTGTGAATATTATAACACAAAGTTTCAAAAACTTATAATTAAAATACAGCCACAATATCACTGTACTGAGTTTGTATTTTTTTTTGTTTTTATTCTTGTATGTTTTTGAGAGAAAGCATATTTCTATTAAGAGCTCCTTAGAGGAAGTAACCTGTAAAACTCAATGGGACTTGCCTTCATAGAGAGCTGCAAAGCCTTTTCCTACCCAATTACTGCTGCTCCGAAACTCAATCCACATTCTGCTGTCTGTAGAGGTAAGAACTTCAGGCAATTTGTCCCCACAGAATCTGCCTAAAAGAAATAAAACAATAAAGAGAGACTCCTAAATATGACTCTGTATTCTAATTGCCTTCCACAGTAACTATATATATATATATATACGAGGATGTGGAGAAAAGGGAACCCTCCTACACTGCTGGTGGGAATGCAGACTGGTGCAGCCACTATGGATGACCTGATTTGGTTCCTATCTCTATCCTTAGTAACTAGAACATAACCACACCTTAATATTTACTTATTAGTGGTGGATAAATAAACCAATCCCTTTGTGTCTATTTATAAAATATTAGAACATATCTTCAGATTAACCAACTGTCAGTATCTTTATTCTGTAGAAGGAAGAAAGAGCTAGCTCAAAAGACATACTTGTAAAAAGTCATGTGGGGACATCAAGGTGGGGAATATTATTCTATAAAGAAAAGAAAAGAAGTACAAATGATGCTGAGAAGCCCGTTTAAATTGTCAGTCTGGTCATTCGTAGGGGAGTCACTTGGTTAAAGCCATGCCTCAGCTCAAAGTGGAGTTCCTTGTCTAGCCAGGTTCAGTGATGACTCATCTGAGGGGCTGACAAGCTGCTCCGAGGATCTCATGCTATTGCATACACTCCATCTCATCTATAAGACTACAATCTGCAGTGTTAGCAGGCAGAATGGCAAGTAGTATCAGAAAAATGGAATATAAGTTCTAACATTTTTATAACTGTGTATCCATTGGCAAGAACAATACCAAAGAATATAATAAATCCTGTCATGTCTGCTTTCTTCCCTCAACCCTCCACAAATACTCATTACCTACTGTATGTCTGCCACTGTGCGGTAAAATTCAATGAGATAACAAAATGGTAAAATATGACAATGCACATGAAACTATTCTACAAACAATACATTGTCATCCATTTTTGCATGCCCCTGGCAATGATGTTGTACATGGTTTTAGTACATTTAAAACAGCAGTCAACATGAAACAAATTCATAGTAACAGCGAACAGGTGCGGGACTGTCTTCCTAACTGGCAAAGCACATGGCGGGCATGTAAAAGAGTGCAATGTTTCTTCAACTGTAATGTGCCTATGAATCGCCAGGGTGTCTGTGAAATACAGTCTCTAATTCAGGAGGGATGGCGTGGACATAAATTTCTACATTTTTAACAACCTTCCAAGTGATTCTGATGTGCCGGTCTGGTGACTACTAGGAGGGACAAGGTTTCGGGGAAATAGTGGGGAGAACTTTCCACATGGAAACTCGGATCCGACCAGGGCAGTGTGGCCCCTCAGACACCACACACTGCTGATGGTGCGCTTGATGTTTTAATTTGCATTTGATTCTCCAATATGAGTTCAATGAAATGTTTTCTTTGGGACGCACATACATGTGTCACAAATTGCTTCGTCTAGGCCAGTGATGGCGAACCTTTTGAGCTCGGCGTGTCAGGATTTTGAAAAACCCTAACTTAATTCTGGTGCCAAGTAACATATAGAAATTTTTTGATATTTGAAACCATAGTAAAACAAAGATGTATATTTTTGATATTTATTTTATATATTTAAATGCCATTTAACAAAGGAAAATCAACCAAAAAAATGAGTTCGCGTGTCACCTCTGACACACGTGTCATAGGTTCGCCGTCACTGATCTAGGCTAAGAAACCAAATGTTCAAGACAATGTTTTCCTCAACCTTAATTCGTTCGAATCTTTATGTCTGCTCACTTTTTAAACATTTCTACAGGGTTCTCTCTTGGACTTCCTAAGGCTGCTGTCACTTTTAATATAAGTGTCCATGCAATATGTTTTAGGTGGTAAGAAAAAAGATCTGTATGGTACATAAATGCAACTGAGCAAAGCTACCTCTAAGAATAAAGGTAAAGTCACAATCCAAAAAATCAATAGATGCTGCCATGCCAACAGCTCTCACCTTTATGTAAAGCAGGGCAACAGGAAAATGCCTCATGCAAGTTAATGGTGTGGTCTGTGGTTTCACGTTGGCAGCAGACTTCCCTAAGCATCAGATCTGAGCTATGATTTATGACACAAACTACAGATGTCTCTTCCCAGCCACAATAAACTCTCTGAGAAGAAAACTGTGTCGTTTACAGTACCAGCTAATGTGCTTGGCATAGGAAACCAGCTACTAACTACTATACCTAACAGCTCACATTCTGCTGCCTGAGCAAACACACACACACACACACACACACACACACACACACACACAATTTACCTGATTTTCTCATTAAAACTATGGCTTTAAAATTAAAACTACAGAAACACTGTGATTAGTAGTCACTGTAAGCATAATAGATGTGAACGCTACTTTAAGTCATTATTCTAAATCAGATCTGAGTACTACCTCATATTTGAAGCTGGTTTAAATCAATTTACTTATTTATCTATTTGTCGTGAGTAGTTTTTTGTGGTTTAAAAAAGAATAATAAAATTAATATGTTGGTCACATACAATTTTAACTCTAAGATGACTCTTGAAAAAATCAATAGTCTTCAGGCAGGACAGACTATATGCATGGCCACAGAGAAGGTAATTGATCTCTTACCAAGGAGAGCCGATTTCCTCCAGTACCCATCTCTTACTTCAATGTAGTCATACCAGCACAAACTACTTTTGTATAAGTCCATCGTGGTAAAATTTAAAACGATCTGCAAAACAAAGCGAAACAGCACCGAGTTAAAATGATTGTAAATGCACATGGTGATTTGATTCTTGGAGATTAGGAGGCCAGGGCTACTGTGAAAACATGCTAATTTTTTTCTACATTAGTATTCTCTTATTTTTCTTTACAAATACCACACACAGACACACACACACACACACACACACACAAAACACACCACCCTGATTTTCTCATTCTCATTCTGTTTAACAATATAAAAGCACAAACATTTTAGCAACTAAAGCACAGATTCTATAAATTTGACCAACTGTGAAACAAACAGAAACCTTTATTCATATAGTTTATTTTGAATTTTCTAAGATAAACATGACTTAAACCATGAAAATTCTGATTTTGCCATAAATGTCTTCTTTTTAATAATTTATGTCAAAGGCGTCCAGACATATATAATCATGTTAAAAATAACCACCATGTGCCATATTCCAAGAACATAATATTATTGTGTATGTTGAAATGTTCAAGAGCAGCTCTAGAATTTGAATTTGTCCATGTACGTATAATCAAAGGCAGATGTCATCATGCTTCTCTAGATCCAAGAATATATATATATATATTCAAAGGCCTTTCAAGTTAGATATTGCACACGATTCTTCATTCTGCACTTTGTTCTGAAATGCTGCTGCTTTTGTGAAGATAATTCAAGAACAGCTCTCGGCAAGACAGTTTCCTTACGGCTTTATAAAAAGACTTTACTTTTCAAATATGTAACTCTTTTTATTACTTCATTACATCCAAGGAAGAGTCAAACTAATGAGGAACTCACCTACCTGATGAAAATAGTACATGTGGAACATATTTTTTTTATATTCTAAAACTCATTCTGGCCCAGCCAGCATGGCCCAGTGGTTGAGCGTTGACCTATGGACCAGGAAGTCATGGTTTGATTCCTGGTTTGGTCAGGGCACATGCCTGGGTTGCAGGCTCAATCCCCAGTATGGGGCATGTAGGAGGAGGCCGATCAATGATTCTCATTCATCATTGATGTTTCTATCTCTCTCCCTCTCCCCTCCTTGATAAAATCAATAAAAATATATTTTAAAAAACACACAACTCATTCTAACCCTTTTCTGCTTAAAATAGCTAAGATAATTAAGGCATTTGATTAACCTGTTCTTTATTCCCGAAAATGAAAAAGGCTTTGGCTATAAGCAACAAATATAAGTATTTGAAATGCCTCCAATATAAAACTATAGTTTGTAACAATACACAAAGAATCTTTTTGTGATGATATAAAAATCTAGATGTAAGAGAACTCTCAAGGAATGACAAAAAAAAAGAAAGAAAAAGATATATCAATCAATCCTGAATCCATATTCAAGAAATTACTACCATTGTTGTGTTAGAAAACATGTACTTCTCTCCTTTCTTGATATTTAACAGAAAGTTAAGTACTAATTAAGACAAACCAATCCTTAACTAGCTCACTTTTTCCAAGAATGAAGATACAGAATAACAATAAATATTTTTCATGGCACCTTATATCTCAGCATCACAATGATCACCCATAATATTGTACAGCAAAGTTGGTTATACTTCCATATGTAAATAATTATTTTACGGAGATTGAAACTTAGAATTTATCAAACTATAATGAAAGTCAATTGTACCTAATAATGGCATTAACATGTCACCATTAAATTGAATGTATTTAAATTTCTTTAAATGTACTTTCTAGATTACAATGAGATGAAATCTAGGGATGTAAAAATAGAGACACACTTTAAAAAATGTAATACAGTAGATGTGGCATAATTCAGTTTTAAGAAAATGATTCATTTATTTTTATCTACTTTATTCATCGTTTTTCTTTTATCTTTGCTTTTCTTCTGCTGCATCTAATTTTATCATTCCAAATACCTTCAAAAATGCTTACAAAAATGTCCAAAATAGCCAAGGATAAAGGACTTAATCATTTCCTTTCTTTGTAAATAATCCTCAACAGTTGATTATAAAATGCATTATTTCTGAATTTTTTTTTTTTGAAGATCCCAAAATGTTTCTCCTCTATCTCTGAATACCAATACAACATTAAGTCATTCTTAGGACATAATTGGGAAATAATTTCTGGTTTTTCTCAGAGAATACTACCAGTGTTAAGTTTCATTTGCATTTGTATTTCCCTTATGGCAATCACAAGGGATTTAAGTCTGCATAGAACATATAAGAATTCATTTATTACAGCAGAGTTGGCACAGCTAGAATACAGACATAAACAGTAGTAGGCCCCAAGGCTTATTTTGTGCCTTTCCTCTTGGGTTAAAGGGGAGTTTTATACTAGTGTAAGAATAATTCAACTTCCTCCTCAATGAGGTAAAAAAAGATGAGCTAAATTGGAAGTTATGTATATCATCAAACTTTATTCAGAATTAAAACAATGTGTTTGGATTGCTAACAAATAGTTAATATTTGAAGTCTGGAACACACACACACATTTGGAAGGAGAATAACTCTAAACAGAAAAGTTTCCTATCTTGTTTTTAAACTTCTATTTTAAACACCAAGCACCATAGAGAAACAAAACTGGCCTACTTTAATATAAAACACAGAGCCCTTTCAAGCAGAAAATGTAATAAAGATAGATTTTCTAAAAATCAAATCGGAGGGCTCTGATGTAGAAGTAAAATGCTGGCCCATTCCTAAGGCTGCTAGCAGAATCCATACATGAATTACAAACCATAAGCACTGGAAAATACTTGATTGTTTTACATTATACTGTTTTATGCAAATATATTGCATCTTTTTCCAAAGAATGGCAAAATAAAAACTACTGAGCACAATTATATAGATGTTTTATTTCTTATGATAAGTATTACCATTTATCGATGTACCTATAGTTCCCTTGGAACAGGTGATTGAGGGAGATATAAGGAACAATTTTAAGATTTCCCGTTTATCAGTCAAGAGTCTTATTTGTTATTCTGTGAAGTTAAATTGATACAATTGTGGTGGAGTTTGCTTATTAAACTTTGCTGTCCAATGATGCAAAGAAAGTGAAGAATATTGAAGAAAGACGGATCAATAGTCTAGGGACCAGATGTTTGTAAGTCTTCAGAGGAAGATTAATCAATGAACTTTTGTCAGAATGATGAAGATGTTATTGGTTACCTAAACTAATTACATGAGCACCATAGAAAGATCAACTAGAACATTTATACCTTATTGTGCTGAGGATGGGGAAGATGTTACAAATCTTGTCAATTATACTGATAGCGTGAAGTGGTTTTTTGGAAAGAGATATTAGAATCAAAAGCAGTAAATTAAACAGATTTCTGGCCTTTATCCAGAAGCAGCTTAGGAAAGGCTTATAAACTCTCTAGGGAAACTACAGTTTTCTTCTCAGAAATAAGAGTAGGAGCAGAACAGGGATCAGTAAACTATGCCGGATGCACCAAATCCAGCCCTCAGCCAGTTTTTATAAAGAAAGTTTTGTTGGAAACATCACTTTACATAATTTCTAGGACTAAAAAATAGAACTGAGTGTTTGAAACAGACTGTATAGCCTGCAAAGCTAAAAATATTTACTGTATATCCTTTCAAAAAAATGTGCCAACTCCTGGAATAATTGATCATTACATTTTTGTTCAGCTTTGAACTGTATCATGCTAAAGGGAAAAGTCTGCATCTTTTCCTACAACTAGAAGCCATCTGTGATTGGGAGTCAGAAAGCCAGGATTAAACTTCTAGCTTCTCAGTTTGTTCGTTTACTTAAAATTTCTGAGTTTGAATGAATTTTTTCACTGTAACATGGAGGTCATCGTATCAAGCTGATCTCAGCACAATTAAATCCGAAGGATTTACTTGGATAATGTGTAGAAAACACTAATAATCCGAAGTATTGTTAATATTCTATATTATTATTATTTCCATGATACATATTCAGGCATCTCTCACAATATAAATGTTACAATAGTTATGAAATAAAGACATAATCCAATTTACTTAATCTAACTATACTGGGAAACACAAAAATATAGGCTCGATTTTATTGTTGTCAATCCTCACCAAGGATATATTTTCCATTGATTTTTTTTTTTAAAAAAGGAAGAATGGAAGGGAGGGAGGGAGAGAAGGAGGGGGAGAGAGAGTGAGAGAGAAACATGGATGTGAGAGAAACATATCAATTGGTTGCCTCCCGCAATCACTCCGACTGGGGCTGGGGATTGAGCCTGCAACTGAGGTATGTGCCCTTGACCAGAATCAAACCCTAGACTCTTCACTCTGTAGGCGGACACTCCACCCACTGAGCTTAATCGGCTACTAGGGCAATATAGGCTCAACTTTAAATTTTCTCAGGAAAATCAACATGTCAAAGTAAAGGACTTTTTACTTTAAAATACAAAGGATGGACAAGGAAGCTTGTGGCCCTGGTCCAAGGCCCTGCCTTACAACAGACAAGCTGTCTGACTCAGATAGATCTCTAATTCCATCAGGGATTAACCACATGACAGGTGAGAAACAGGACTTAAATTATACCATGAAAATAATTTTTCTGCTTAAACATATGTGATATCTGGATTTTAAAATTTTGATTTATCATCACCAACTACTCACAGGGTCTTTTAAAAATGTAATAGATTTTATTATTTCTGAAGTCATATATATACATTACATAATTTAGTAGAGGTTTCATTCAGTGATTATATAATTTGCTGCAAACAGTTTGCAGATATCCCATTTGGTACAAGTTAATTTTGTGTTATATTTTGTTATGTTTAATATATATGTTTTATTATTGCTGACACTATTACAGATAACCCCCATTTCCCCCACACTTGCCCACCGCCACCCAGCCTCTGCCCCATCCCCCCACCCGACCTTCACCACACTGTTTGTGTCCATGGGCTATGCATGTTCTACCTCCCTTTCCTTAATTCCCACTCCAACTTTATATCCAATCAGTTGCAACTTCTCTAGATGATACTCTGCAATGCTGCTAAAAATGTCCTCCTCCTTCCTTTTTCAGTTAGTGCTCTCCATGTTTCTCTGAATTAACTGCACTAACTCCAAGATCTGAGCTCTCTTATCTCTGCAAATCCATAAGTGGTATCGTGCTTTCGTCAACTATTTTTCAGAGCTTGCCTAGGATATCACTAGGTCTTGTCCTTGATATATGTGCATAAGACTCCTGATAGCAAAGATTTCTTTCACACACCAGAAGACACATTTTAATGGAATCAACAATTTGTCTATACAGCAATTGCTAGATTTAAGCTGTGCCTTTGCCAATATAAACGTTATATTGTAAATTGACCCCATATGTGTAAACTGTTAGATGAGTGGTTAACAAGACTTTTTTTTCAAAATTAAAGTAGTCAAATGATAGCTTTTAAATGGGTTACATAGGAAAAGAAAAAAAAATGCTAACTGTATTCAATATGTAAGAAGTCTATCCTTGTTAAAAGATCAATCAGTTCTGAGGGATGGAAGAATCGATATTGCATGCTTTTATCAGCTCAACACAGCTACATTCTCAGCTGCACATCCTGGACTGTTACCAGCATGTTCTGTGCAACATCAAAAACAGCCTCAGATTGGACAAACTCTGTCTTTACCTTGGCAGGCTTACTCCTACAAAGACACACACATGCACTGACAATCTCTCTTTTTAGTGTGATAAAATATACATAACATAAAATTTACCATTTTAACCATTTCAAGTGTACAGTTCTGTAGCATTAAGCACAGTCACACTATTGTACAACAATACTTTTATTTTTTAAATGATATATTACCACCCTAGTTAGTATTGTACAGTGTTGGCCCAAGCACCAAAGGGTTGTGGGTTCAATTCCCAGTCAAGGGCACATACCTGAGTTCGATTCCCAGCCCTGGTCAGGGTGCGTGCAGGTGGCAACCAATCAATGTGTCTCTCTCATATTGATTTTTTTCTCTCTCCCTCCCTCCCTGCTTCTCTTCCATTCTCTCTAAAAATCAAAGGGCAAAATATCCTCTGGTGAGGATTAACTAACAAATAAACAAATAAAAAATAAATGAATAAATTATGTTTTTCTTGCATAAAATAAAATATGCTTATCATAGAAAATAAAAGAAGAAATGAGCCCTTGCTGGTTTGGCTCAGTGGATAGAGTGTCGGCCTACGGGTCCTGAGTTCGATTCTGGTCAAGGTCACATGCCTGATTGTAGGCTTGATCCCCAGTAGGGGATGTACAGGAGGCAGCCAACCCATGATTTCCTCTCATCATTGATGTTTCTATCTCTCTCCTTTCCTCTCTGAAATCAATAAAAATATTTCTTTTAAAAAAAAGAAAAAGAAATGAAACCTATATAAATCCAACAAGGATAAAGAAGCATTGTTTTATTATATATTCTTCCATAATTTTGTCTCTAACATATGTACTTTAAAAATTAGATATTTTCATGCCTCTGACTTTTAACCTACTGATTAAATTTTCCAATATATTGAAAAATTGTCCTCTAGTTCCAGGAAACACACAATCTTATAAAAAAAAGAATGTAACAAGGGTGCTGTGATGTTTCTAGATAATAACTCATGTGATCATCTTCAGGAAGATAAATTTAATGACATTCTGTATCATGTTTTATTCCTTTTTAATGAGCATGATTTGATAAAGAAATTATCAATAGGTCTTTTACATTGGCCATTCTGTATATTTTGGTAAAATAGAATGTTTAATCTTTTAAAATCCATTATAAATTTTTGAACTATTTAGTCTTTTATTTGATTAATTAAACAAGAATAAAAAATAAAGCAAATTAAATTTGAAAAATAAACCTCTGCACTTATATGAGAGTAAAAGAGAACTCTTGATATTATAAACTACCTTCTCCCCTGGGGTCACAGAAACTCTCCAGATGCAGTGTGTGTAAGAAGGGTAGCCGTTGGGAAATCCTGGAGAGGAAAGGTTGCCGTTGGACTCTTGTAGGGTTTCTCCACATGCTGAAATAAAAATAAAATACATATATTTGTTTTTTTTAAAAGATAACATCTATTATTTCCTAAAAAGTATAAGATCACTTTTAATTTTAATGAAAGGTATGGGCATCATAATTAAAATCTTGAGTCTTTTAGTGTTAGACAAGAGTATGTATTTGTATTTTATAAAAGACTTTCCCTTTCTAAATAATTTATTTTTTATGTCTCTCATAAGAATTTCACTATACCTAATGGGATCACTAGGGTTAACCGAATCACGAGAACCGGAGATAAATAACTGGCCTGTATAAAGTACTTCCTCATGGAAACCTCTGCCATCCCTTCCCAAGGAGCCAGTAGCCAACTTGTAAATGGCCCATATTTTGATTCAGGTCAGTCGCTACCTTGTTGATGTGGCTCTGAGACCACATGAAACATTCCATCAACATATTCAATGTAAATTGAGGCTAAGTTCAGTTTACATTGAATTATTCCATGTGAAAGTTGAAAAAAATCTTAACTAATAAGTAATCCATAAAAGTGGTACCAAAATGTAATCACAATCAAAGTTTTTCTCAAAATAAGCCCCCCAAAACCGAAAGATTAAAAAACATCATGGACACCCTGGCCAGTTTGTCTCAGTGGGTAGAGCGTCGGCCTGTGAACCGAGGGGTCCTGGGTTCAATTCCAGTTGGGGGGGCACATGCCTGGGTTGCGGGCTCGGTCTAATGTGCAGGAGTCAGCCAATGATTCTCTCTCATCATTGATGTTTCTATCTCTCCCTTCCTCTCTGAAATCAGTGAAAATAAATTTTAAAAAATCACGGAAGATCAAATTTTCCAACAGGATGTAGATGTTTATTTACTCTCTCTTTTCTGTTGATCATAAGTACAAATTGCTGGAAAAGCAATTACATTTTTCTCTTACTAAGCCTGTCTAATTTCTTGGAAGTAATTACTAGTCATCTGAAATAGCAAATTATCAGCTCCACAGCCTTCAGATCTGTATGACTGATATCTCTAGGGCCATTTCAACAAAAGCAAAAAGCAGAGTGTAATTAGCTTATTGGTGCAGCCAAGGTCAGAGTCATTCTATAACGGGTTTTCCTGTTGTTTTGTAAGATATGGTATGAGCTACATGAACCTAGGATGCTTTAAGTATCCTTAATCCAAAAATAATTTCTCTGCTGCAGCCAGTCATCTTTAAACTTTTACTCAACAACAATGTGAAAGAACAGTTTCTTCCCTCTGACAGAGACTGATATAAAAACTGATATTTCCATATGAGAGACCAATAGCTATCGGCAGCTCATCATATCCTCAATAAGTTGCCAATGGTTTTGCATATCTTAACTTAAATGTAAAAAAGAAAGATGATGACTTTGAAAACACAAAACAGAGCTGTAAAAAGAGTCTGATACAATGTAAATATTTATTTAGAAACACAGATATTATGTTTGCACAGCAAAGTAAGTTTAAAGTAAGAGTAAGCGATATTTATTCTGATAAAAGCAACTTTAGAACAAAACAAAAATGCTCATTGGCCAAAAATACACAATTCAGGACTTTTCATGAATCAAGAAGGGCACTTGATAAATATAATGTTATAAGAACCCTTAAAAAGTTTAAATGTGTTAAGATTTATGGATGCAAACAATGTGCTTCTCACTAGAGTCAGTTTAGATGCTAGTCATATTGGAGTTGAGTGTGTTTCAATGAAAAGAGCTAGAATTCACAACAATTTAAAAATAAATTCTGTAATGATTGAAACCTCCACTAAACTACATAGAATGCTGGTACTGTATTTCCTAAAGTAGAATTAAAACAAAGAGATATAATTAATCCACAAATATAACAATAATGATATGATAAAAAATAAAAGATTCTATAAATGAAAAATAAATATAACATATAATTCAAAAATTTAATAAATATAGAGCACCTACTTATAAATGCAAGAAGTACAAACAATAGTCAAGTTGTAATTATTTTTCCATTTTCCTAGTACATGTGGTTGTCCCAGGCTACCTAATTCCTACTTACAGAAGATTTTCATCCATTTTCCCAGCCATTTGTGGATTAATGCTCAGATATAAAGAGCAAACTTTATTATTAAAAGAATTAAAGAAAAATTACCAAGGAAAATGTGACACTAAGATAAAGTGCATAGTCTGCCCATATACTCTGCAAGGTATGTGGATGAGAAAACTGTTATGGCATTACTAATATACAAGTAAGTCTTATAAGCTTCCACCTCAGTTTCTCTTCTCTAAAGCGACTACCTTGTTGATATGTACTTCATAGAGTAGCTTTGTAAGGGTCAACTATTATGACGCCCTAAGGTATGACGTCTACTTACATACCTTTTTCACAGAAAGGAAGACTGTGGACTTAATTGTTAGAATGTGTTTTTGAATTACAAATGCAGTCATATCCAGTAAAAAAGAAAAGGCTTTTAAAAATATGCAAAGAAAATTATCACTTTCTTGATTGAAATTACTCTAAAACAAAACATAATTCAGGAGTTAAGCTTCTATCTCTCTAGGCAGATGTCATTATCCTGTATGTATAAAACCATAAAGATGCCACACGTTCACACAAAAACTGTTAGAATTAATAAATTCTGCAAAATAGCAGGACAGAAAATCAACATACAAAAATCAGTTACATTTCCATAAACTAACAACAAGTAATCTCAAAAAGATAAAGAAAACTATCCCATCTATAATAGCATTAAAAAGAATAAAATATTCAGAATACCTTAACCAATGAGAAAAAAGAATTATACACTGAAAACAACAAAACACTACAGGAAAAAAAATAAAAGAAAATAAAGCAATGGAAAGAAATTCTGTGTTCATTGATTTGAAGACTTAATATTGCTACAATTTCCGTACCACTCAACATTACCTACAGATTCTATGCAATCTCTATCAAAATCCCAATGGCTTTTTTTGCAGAAATGAAAGAAAAAAGTCCTAAAATTCATATAGAACCACAAAATCTGAACAACTAAAACAATCTTAAGAAGAACAAATATGGAAGATTCACACTTCTTGACTTCAAAACGTATTATAAATCTACAGTATTCAAAACAGTGTGGTATTGTCATGAGATAGACATACAGACCAATGGATCAGAATAGTCAAAAATAAGCCACGCATATACAGTAAAATGATATTCAATAAGGGTGACAAGACTACACAGTGAGGAAAGGACAGTCTCTTCAACAAATGGTGTTGGGGGAACTAGTTATACACATACAAATAAAATGAACTTAGACCTTTATCTGTCGCCATACACAAAATCAACACATAACATTTGTATTTAAAAGAAAGAAATCCTTAGAAGTTTCTTTATTATAAGGTATTTACTTTATATTCCTCATAAATTCACTGTTATTTGACATATTTAATTAAGAAATAATTATGAAGATAATATTAGAGTTGATAGTTGGTTTAAGTACTAAGTAGTTATAAACAATAAGGGCACTGGGCTACAGAAAAAATAAATTAAGAGGAAATGCAATTGAAGACCAGAAAAGTCACAACCTCGAATATCTACGTGTGAAGGTCAGGCATCCTTTCAAAATTAAACTCTAAGGAACAGCTCTATAGGATGCAGAAGCAATAGAACTTTGAGCATAAACTGATATGGAGTAAAAAAGTTGGAGTAAAAAGTAGCCAAATAGCTTTATTGACTCTATTCACCAGCAATTTCTAACAAAACATCAAGACAGACTCCAAAGAAATATGCAGTTCTATAAAACCCTCTTCTCTATTAAAAGCAAGAAACAACCAAGTGTCATGTTATAAATTCTTACTTTCTTAGGTGATTCTCAGATGAGTCATCCTATTTAGACTTCAGTGTATAATTGTGGGTCTTTACCACAATTCCACTGATGCACTTAGAGTTACTGTTAAACCGACAGCATCAGTGTAGCTGAAATGTATTTTGACAATGGCAAGTGTATGTTTACTAACATCATTAGTACTCTCATTGTGAGGAAATGAAGAACCTTAAATACACAACCATAAATAGGGCTCAGAACTAGTGCCTGAAAGAGAGAGAGAGAGAGAGAGAGAGAGAGAGAAAGAGAGAGAGAGAGAGAGAGACATGGAAGGGGTGGTTACAGTGCTGAGAGGGACAGAGAAAGAATAGAAAGAGGGAGAGTTAGAAAAAGAGAGAAAGAGAGTGTGTTGCTTGGTGAGCATGAAGGATGGATGATTACTAGAATTAGTGGGATGATCACACTGTGAGGTAAAAAAATATCCAATAACTATATTGTACACCTGAAACTAATATAACCAATTTAAGATTGAACACCAACTATAATGAAATTATAAATAACTACTTTTCTACAATTCATTGTGTAAATGCATCTTACTCCAGAAATAAGTAAAAAAGTAAAAAATGAAAACAAAAATAATCAAGCCCAAGTCATTCTAAAAGACCTTGGGAATTAAAAGTTAACATATCTTTTTAAAAAATATATAAACATATCTTTTAGTTCTCCCTTATTCCTTGAATTTTATAAGCTGCAAAACAGAGACTTGCTTTTTATACTGTTTTAGAAACACAAGATACATTCCTCAGTAATGATGATGCCTATATGCTGTGGTTTTTGCCATAGTAAACAAAGCAATGTACATATAACTATATTTCAAGTAAGAAAATAGCCCATTTATCTATTTACATGATTAAAATCTCAAGTAAAAATTATGCTTACTAATTATTTTCCTATTAATAACTAAAATATTCAAGAGCCATAGGCTGAAGATTAAATTAGTGTCATACATGTGATTCTTTCAATTCCCATTGACTGACTTTCCTACAATTCATTGTGTAAATGCATCTCTAGTGTGCTCTTTAAGTATAATGTACATACATACATATTTAGAAAGACAATCAAAATGTTTTATATGGGAACTGTCCATTTATTTATTAATTGCTATTAATCACATAATCTTTCCCATAATTTTCTACTTTGAAATTTAAAAAACATAGTTCATCCAATACTGCCAGAAATTAGCCAAGGATCACCCATGTGTTTTATCATAGTGGTGACATCTGTTTATAAATTCATCTTCCCTGTGAAAATTTAGATTTTAACAAACAAATACTACACATGCATGTGTGTTTTACATAAATACATGGACAAAACAATTTGGAAAATCCATGTTCAGTAAAGTTAAATATGTTTCTTTGAATTAAGGTATTTTACTAGGAGAGGATTTTGAGTGTGCAGTAGGTGCATAGAATACACAGCCTTTCCAAATTGGAAGCTGACTCTTTTTTTTCCTTGAACCAATAAAGCATTAGTGTTCCCTTGGAACTTTCTTACTAAGACCTTCCATTAATCTTTTTGATAACTCTATTCAATAGAAAAAACAATCAGGACCTTCTATTAATCTTTTCCACAACTTTATCCAGTAGAAAAACAATCAGTAGCTCATTAGCAACACGGTTAGAACTAATTTTTTGCAACTAATTTATCAATTCCAATAATAAAAATTTAATTTATATGCCATTAATGATGGTACTTGCAAGAAAAGATCATTCAGGACTCAAATCTGAAGTCGAACTAAAGGACATTCTTTTTATATTACCAAGGAGACCCAGAATTTGACTTTGAAATCATGCAACTATTTAATAACTATCAGACAAACATGCCTTTTACTCTTTTACTCCTTAAATTAAAAGAAATAAAACATACTATCCCTGAGCTTGAAATTTGATTTCTAGCAATTTGTTTTTAATTATATCAGTGGGTGTTCCAGAGTTCTCTCCTATTTCATTTTCTGATTACTGACTTTGAACTGAATAAGTCACTTGCCAGCATGGAAAGAGACATGTAAACAGTTGAGTAAATGGTGGCTTATTCATCTGGCACAATTACGCTTCTGTGTTTGTATGGTGCAATACCTGGACATCTATACAGCTTTCTTGCCTGTGCAATATCTCCTTTGCTTAAACGGGTCCGCTGACCGATTGCGGGACGTATGCCATTGTCATCACGAGAAGGGAGAATAGTGTCCAGAAACATCCCCCTGAAAAAAATCAGAAGCAAGCCACACATAAGTCACCCAATTAAGACACATACACTTCTTACAAGTATTAGGGTTTTTTTTTCAAACTCAAGTCAATCTATGGGGAAACACATCAGCGATGTGCTTTAACCCGTGTGTCAGACTTTCAAAACACTTTTATTAAAGTAGAAATAAAATGTGTGCTAAATACAGGGTGTTCCCCCAAAAAGTATACACATTTTAATAGCTGATAGCTCAGTTGATGCTTCTTTCTTTTCAGATTTAACACATTGGAATTAACAAATTATTCAAATTGTGTATACATTTTTTGGAATACCCTGTATGTATGCCTAACATCGAGTCAGTGATGATATTCACATTTTCCTTAGAAATGTATATTACATGATTTTCGAAACCTAGAATTCTATATAGTCCCCCACTACATACACATGGCTTTTTTTTTTTGGATCTCTCAAGCAGATCTAAGAACCCCTTCGATTACCAAGTTGTAAAACAAGTCTTCCTCATGTAGCTATATTTCTTAAAGACAACCTACAATAAATATTTTTGAAGTTACTAAAATTGTAAAAGAGAAATAAAATACACACATATATTCGTGTGTGTGTGTGTGTAGGTTCATTTCTTAAACTACTAATTTAATATTAGTATTCTTCTAATTAAATCTTAGTCTTCTAATCTTAGTATTCTTCCAAGTATTACAGTACATGTTAAAGAACAAAGAACAAAGATTGTCAAATTTTAGATAGAAGAGTATAAAGCAAAATAGTTCAATGATATACACTCATATATACACATACTTATAGTATAAAATGTTTCATGTTAAAAGTAATAATCAACTAAGTAATGCCTTAATAATGGTGAGGTATGGCTACTGAGTTGTTTGTTCCCAAGGTTGTAACAGAAACTATTTTTCTTAATATGCATAACTAAAAATTCTGACTCCAGTGCACTAAAAATACAGCCTAATTTTGCAATAGAAACCAACTTTATAGCTCTAAAGAAAGTTCAATGGACTGGGGGACTATTCTAAGTGGTGAGAATAATAGAGTGTGTATTTAAGGATTTTTTTTTTTAAAAAAAGAGAAACTATTCTGTATAATAAAAGGGTAATATGCAAATTGACCCTAACAGCAGAACCACTGGGAATGACTGGACACTATGACACACACTGACCACCAGGGGGCAGATGCTCAATGCAGGAGCTGCCCCCTGGTGGTCAGTGCGCTCCCATAGGGGGAGCTCTGCTCAGCCAGGAGCCAGGCTGATAGCTGCCAGCACAGCGGTGGTGGCCGGAGCCTCTCCATCCACTAAGGATGTCTGACTACAGCTTAGGTCTGCTCTCTGCTGGTAAGTAGACATCCCCCGAGGGCTGCCGGGCCACTAGAGGGATGTCTGACTGCCAGCTTGGGCCCGATTCCCCAGGGAGCAGGCCTAAGCCAGCAGGTGGACATCCTCCGAGGGGTCCCACACTGCAAGAGGGCCTAGGCTGGGCTGAGGGACCTCCCCGCAAGTACACACATTTTTGTGCACCGGGCCTCTAGTAAACTATAAAGGTATTTTATTTAATTTAATTTTAGTTTGGATATCATTAATTATGAAAGCTTTCAAAACTTCAGTGGAATGGAAAGCTTCCCATGATGCCATTTCAATAGTGATTTATTTCAGTTTACATACTTTCCAAGAATGTCACCATTTTTTTTAAACATTTTTATTGATTTCAGAGAGGAAGGGAAAGGAAGAGAGAGATAGAAACATCAATGATGAGAGAGAATCTTTGATAGTCTGCCTCCTGCATGCCCCACATTGGGGATCGAGCCCACAACCCAGGCATGTGCCCTGATCGGGAATCAAGCCATGATCTCCTGGTTCATAGGTCAATACTCAACCATTGAGCCATGCTAGCTGTGTTGTCACCATCTTTAAATAAGAAATAATCCTTGTTATCTGGAACTACTTTTCAATCCCCTGACTTTTCCTCCCTAAAGATAAAATCTAGGCCTCAGCTGTATTTCAGCTCCAGGCCCAGAAAAGCAGCAAAACCAGGTAAGTGACACAGTGACGGCCTCAGGACCAGCTGCACTGACTAATAATCCCCTGCCCTGGTGCCAACCAATCAGCGGAGACCACGTCCCTGAAAGAGCACACCTGGGAAGTTGATTAATATTGTATTGAGACCCTTCCCTGAGACCTCCCCTAAAATTACTGCCAGCAAGAGAGATAAATACCCTCAACACAAAGGACCCAGCATACCCTCAACAAAAAAGACCCAGTGTGCGCTCCCCCCTAGGTGAGCATGCTGCACCATTCCCTTCCCCACCCTTCTTCAAGGGACCCCATGAGACTTGCAACCAGGGGAGCAATGGGTAGTGGCAGCTCATCCCAGGCTAAGCCTCTGAACTTGTCTCCAAGGCCCCCTTTTCTCTGACTCCCCAGCGAAGCCAAGCAGCCCAGGCTAGGCTCTCCTGTTGCTTCTCCTATGCCCTTCCTTATTTCACTGTCCTAAGTGTGTTTCTGATGCAGCCAATACATTTTTACTTGCTTTGCTTGCTGTAATTTGTCTCTTGATTGAAATCTTTCCTTCAAGAAGATAAAAACGAAGGTCTCATCGTCTCACTGGTAACATAATGAACAAAATAAACTAATAAACAAAATAGAAACAGACTTATAGATAGGGTTCCAAGGCTCGGTAAGAAAGGTGAAGGGATTAAGCAAAAAATCAAAACAAAGCAAAACAAAAAACCTCTTAGACACGCCTAATGGTATGGTGATTACCAGAGAGAAAGCGGATGGGGGAGGTAGATGAGGGTATAGAGGTGATAAATGGTGATGGAAGGAAAGTTGACTTGGGGTGGTGAACACACAATACAATATACAGATGCTGTGTTATAGAATTGTACACCTGAAACTTACATAATCTTATGAGATAATGTCATCCCAATAAATTTGATTAAAAATTTTTAAAAATTTGCCCTAACCGGTTTGGCTCAGTGGATAGAGCATTGGCCTACAGACTCAAGGGTCCCAGGTTCGATTCCAGTCAGGGGCATGTACCTTGGTTGCGGGCACATACCCAGTGGGGAGTGTGCGGGAGGCAGCTGATCAATGTTTCTAACTCTCTGTCCCTCTCCCTTCCTCTCTGTAAAAAAAAATCAATAAAATATATACATTTTAAAAAGTTTTAAAATTTTTCAGTTCTACTTTTTCCTACCTTTAGGAAATATTTACTGAGAATTGTTATAGGTCTGGATTTACAGCAGTAAATAAAAGACAAAAAATTCCTCCTCTTATAATGCTCACATTCTCATGGGAGGAGAAAGACATTAAATAAAAGAATGATAAACTGGGACAGTGACAGGTACAACAGAGAAAAATATAGAAGAGCCTGAAAGATAATAAAACTTTTCTGAAGTAACAGGAAGTATGAGTAATTTATGACTGAGCACCCTAGCTTCTAGGTTTGGGTAATGATCTTTAGATAAAACTTAGATAACTCAAATATGGAATGGAACTCTTTAAACCAAAGCTAAGTGTCTACAGAGCTCCATATGTAAATTATCTAAGATGAAGGAGGGAGGGGAAACTAGTAATCATTGGTTATTGACCATCAAAAGTGAGAGCTTAAACATAATAGGATGCAACTCCAGCGAGGCCAGTGCAATTGAAGGGGAAGTTGAGGCACAAGACAGCATTGAGAAAAGCCATCATTCAACTATGTTGCATGAATCAAGAGATTATTAGCTAGGTAAGTCCAAATTAATGAAATGTTACAATTTCTGCAGGATTCAGAACTAATAATTCACTATTTTCAATTTCTGAAAATAGATTTGTAACCTGAAACTGGTTTTTGTTGTTGTTTTTTTTCCAGTTTTCAAAAGAGATTCGCTTTAAAAGTACCAGGCCATCTTAAATTGTATGTATTCAAACTCAGGCAATCGAATGGAGAACTTTGACTCATTCTGTCCACTGAGGTAACCTCCCTTTCATTGGGTGGGGGGATCAGTTACCATTCTTTTGTTCCTTCTTTGTGGTCAGAGAGTTAATAACTATCTTCTTGACACAGGCCCTTAAGCAATGCAGACTCTTCCTAAACACCTTCAGTAAGGCACTATCAATAGACTAGAGACAGGTCATTGAGGGCTTCAATTACTAACCTTCATTTGTTTTACCTATAGTGGAAGAGTAAATTACCTATGCTTTTAAATAAGCTTCATAAAATTTTACAATTCTTTACTAATGGAAAATGGGCAGCCCCAGTTAAGCAAAAATCTATGCTACAAACTATGCATGCATATAAAAGCCCCTTATCTTTAGCCCCATCCTTCCCACAAATAAGTACCTAAATCTGCTGATGGGCTATATTCATGAAAACAACTAAAAGTTTTATAGACTCTGTGGGTCAAGAATAGAAGAAACTATAAAACTTCAATTACTTACATGAACAGAATGAACAACAAATACCATATGTTCATCTAATTGATGCAGAAAAAGCATTTTACAGAAGTCAATACGCTTTCATGATAAAAAAAAACAAAACACACTCAGCAAACTAGGGACAGAAGGAAAGTACCTCAACATCATAAAGACCATAGATGGAAGTCTATAGGATCATCATATTTAATGGTTGAAAACTGAAAGCTTTGCATTCAAGGTCAGGAATAAGGCAAGCCTAATTGCTCACATCACCTCTATTCAACACGGTATTGGAAGTCCTAGCCAGAGCAATGAGGCAAGAAAAAGCAGGAAAAGGCATCCACGTCACAAAGAAAGTGGTAAAATCATCTGTTTGCTAATAGCAAATGTAAAAATATGTTTAAAAAATTCCAAATGTCTGGTGTTGGCTATAAATACCAATGAAGTATTTTTGTATTTTATGGCAGAAATGTTTGAAAATGCTTCTAGTTCTAATGTTAGACATAGGTTTGTGAGAAGCCACACAGAGGAAAGGAATTAAAAGTCAAAAGGTATAACCTGAGACTCCAACCTTGAGAAGGTGTTCCTGGCATAGTGCATGATACTGTCAAAATCATATCTTTCTCCCAGCGAGTTCACTTCTCCAGGCTCCATCTTCAGGAAGTTGTACTCTTGACCTAAGAGGCGGGCACAAATAACATTTCAGAAGCTTTCTACCAGGCAGAGAAGAGCTATTCCTATGACTGCACCTTCTCTTTACAAAGTGGCTAATCTTCATGCATACTGTAATTACATGCTAACACCCACATTGTGTAAAAGTATCCATCCAGTGTTGCTGTCTTACTTAATATCACATTGAAAGTGTAATACTGAATTCCATTAATAAGTTAATTTTGGAAAAAGAATGGATTATCAAAAGGATACTTTGGGTCTGTTTTCTATGTATACTCTTCTGCGTTCTCATATTTGTTTCTTTAAAATTTAATTTTTTTTTCAGTACTGTAGAAGTGATTATAAAAAGTTACATCTTACTTAATGACTTTCCCACCTTTCTCTTATAACTAAAGTTGCCAAGAGAGAAAAATTACCTTCCTATTTGCTTTCTATTCTTTCTATAAAACACTGAAAAAATATAAAAGCAATATTTATAAGTACCTACAACATGACGGACTTTAGCTATGTGATTTTGTTACTACAGGTAAAACAACAGCAACAAATTTTATTCAAAATTAGAATAAAAATCTCTTTGATTAATCTACTCCAACTGGAGAGCATTTTGATTAGGAAGAATATGCTTCAAAAGAATAAGCCATTTTGAACGCATATTCTAAAATGGATTAAAGCAATCAATCCTTATATCAATTTGCCTCTTATCATAGTCACTAATTTTGCATATAAATGCTAAGCTAAAGTCCGCACTTATTAGACATTGCCCTTGAATAACACTTAAGTTTCTGAGCCAAAGCAAGTCATAAATTTTTTGAAGATTAATCTCCAATATGAATTCTTACATACTAGAACTGCACTACTAATAGTTCCAAATACTCAGGAAATCTCACTTAATAAACTATATTTTCTATTGGTCTGAATATAGAGTCAACAAAAGCACGAATACCATAGTCATATTTGCTTAACACTGTGTTAAATATTATACATTACATACTATTTATACATTTCTTGCTTGTTTCAGGTACATATTTACATTGAAACAGAGTCCTATTTTAAGAGTAAACATCATTCTTGAAAGTTATTTCCTTTATAAGCTTTGTCTGCATAATAGAGGAAATTTAATTACTAAGGTTAACAGATAACTTCTCATTTAATTGGTAATTGAAATAATTTTCAGAAATGTTATTTCCTTTTTATTTCTCACCTAAAGATATAAAGTATGATATGAACCTTGATAGCTGGCTAGGCATTAGTCTTCCATTTTGGGAGTATACATTTCTTTACTTGTCTTTGATATTTAACACTATAGATTATTTCATCAATCTTCGGATGATCTATTCTCTGAGGCTTCCCAATTCATTAATTTTCTGCCTCTTAGACCAAACCTTCTTAGTCTTGTGGGAAATTTTCTACAAAATGTTACTTCATTTACTTATTTAAGTATTTGTTTCTTTACTTACTTATTTATTTTCATTTATTGGGGTGGCATTGGTTAACAGGATCAGATAGGTTTCATATATACACAAAATGTTGCTTTAAATATTGATGTCTCCATTTTCTATCCTCAATCATTTTCTTTTCCCTTCAGTGTTTCCATACACTCAGATTCCCTATCAAATTTCTTTCATAGATATATCTGAAAGTTTAGACTCATCTTCCCTTTGTCTACTAAAAAATCTCAACTTGGATCACCCAAAGGCTTCTCAAACTTCAGGATATGCTCAATAAAACCATCTTTTGTTTTTCTCCCTCACAAAAGTGTTGCCTTGTCCATATTTCTTATTTCATTTGATGGTGCCACTATTCATTCTGTCGCCTAAAAATAAAACTTTGAAGAGGTCTCCTCACATGATGATGCTCCTCTTAAAATATTTTGAAAGATTATTCCCTTTTATTTCTCTTGACCTGTGCAACTTAACTGAGGCCTTAGCTATCTCATAAACTTCTTACTTATCTAATGAGTTTCCCTGACTTCAGGTTCATCTTCCCCACATCTATTTTCCCAGTCTCAGTTAATGATCTCCAAAATGAGAGAATTATTTTTTCTTTTTAAAATCTGAACCCAATCGGCTTTCAAACTTTCAATTATTCTTTAGGACTCAAAGTACAAATCTAAGTTCCCTAGCTTCAGCTACTAGTAGACGATCCCTGCGATTGAACTAATTTCCCACTTGTAACTTCCCATGCAGTCACAAAGGGCAAGTAAAATGATTCCATTTTCTGTATTTGCATCTTTGATCATGATGTTTCTTCAGCTTAGAAACTCCATCATTCTTCTGTGCACTTAGAACACTTCTACTTCACTTACAAGTTTTGGTTTCTTTGTGACATCCCCTTGACTCTCCAAAGTACATTTTGTCACAATTGCTTGGACTCCATGGTATTCTCAACATGACAATTGTTACCTTACTCACTTGCAATCATTTGTATACTATATACTACGCTGTGTGTTTTTCATCAGCATTTCCAGCATCTACTAGTGCCTCAAGAAATAACTGTCACCAAATATGTGAGGAGTAAATAGATAGATCAATGCTGGTAATTACTGGGAATTCTAAAGAATTTCATCGTTGTAATTGAAACTGGCCATGCATAAGTTTAAAAAGACACATTTTTTACTTTGTTTACACTTGAAATACATACTATCTCATAAGACAATTCCAAGCATTAAGATTTTTCTTTTGATAATTGAAATGTACGGATGTTTATGAAGTTAGGGGAATTAAAACAAACAAAGAGCTGTACACACATCAACTGTCAGAGAAAATTAAATTTAAATTATGTATTATATTTCAACTGCTGAAAAGATTCTTAAATATTTGTCTTTCGGGCAGCCCGGTTTAAGAAAAATCTCAAGGAAACTATTTAGACCAGGGTCCTCAAACTATGGCCCGCGGGCCACATGCAAATACAAATATTGTATTTGTTCCCGTTTTGTTTTTTTACTTCACAATAAGATATGTGCAGTGTGCATAGGAATTTGTTCATAGTTTTGTTTTGTTTTTTGAACTATAGTCCGGTCCTCCAACGGTCTGAGGGACAGTGAACTGGTCCCCTGTTTAAAAAGTTTGAGGACCCTGGTTTAGACTATACTGGGATGACTCATTTCCCTGGAATTTCTCCAGAAGTTGTCCCTGATATAATATTGATTCCTATGGTAGCAGCACGTTTGATGGTAAACTCTGGACTGTTTCTAAATCCATACAACATAAATATAGAGCTAAGTATATTAAATGCTTTAAAATCTTTAATAATATTTATGGTTTAATAGCCTACACCCAATCTTGGAAAACACAGAAATTTAGAAATAAAAGAGCTAAATTTTAAGGGGGGAAAAAAAGCAAGCCTAAAAAAAACATAAGATCATTTATTCTGAAGAAAATAGAACCTCAGCATGGGTTATTTTTTACTTAGGCGAAATATTAATATTAATTCTATCATATAAAAAAAAAACACAGTTCACATTTGTTAAGAAGTTAAATGATAAAAAGTACAAACACAACCAAAGGAAACTCAGTCACCCTGAACCCCAATTCTTACCTGGCTGGATGTTTTCTCTTATGATGGTTACATGGTTATCTCGATCTGGTCGCGTGTGTTCATGCCAAAAGCCTATCACATGGCCCAGTTCATGAACAACAATTCCAAATTTATCACAGTTCTTGCCAATGGAGATTGCCTGAGGTCCATTACCCCGCCGACCTACATAGGAGCAGCATCTGGAATAAAGAAGAAAGAGGAGATGGTGGTGGAAAGGGAAATGCTGGATGAATTAAAATATGGTCAACTTTCGTTAAGAATTGTGATGAACTATAAAGTCCAACACAGTCAGAGGCAGAATAACCTTTTACTAATAATTAAAGGCCTGGTGCATGAAATTTGTGCATGGGGGGGGGGGGCGGGCTAGCCCAGCCTGTACCCTCTCCAATCTGGGACCCATCAAGGGATGTCGGACTGCCAGTGTAGGCCCGATCCTGGGCCAGCAGTCAGACATCCCTCTCACAATCTGGGACTGCTGGCTCCCAACTGCTCGCCTGCCTACCTGCCTGCCTGACTGCCCCTAACTCAGTAGTTCTCAACCTTCTGGCCCTCTAAATACAGTTTCTCATGTTGTGACCCAACCATAAAATTATTTTCGTTGCTACTTCATAACTGTAATATTGCTACTGTTACGAATCGTAACGTAACTATCTGTTATGCAGGATGGTCTTAGGCAACCCCTGTGAAAGGGTCGTTCGACCGCCAAAGGGGACTCGACCCACAGGTTGAGAACCGCAGCCCTAACTGCTTCTGCCTGCCAGCCTTATCACCCCCTAACTGCTCCCCTGCCAGCCATCTTGTGGCTGTGGGTGCCACCATCTTTGAGGGTGGGGCAGTCAATTAGCATATTCCTTTCTTATTGGCAGTGGGTGCCGCCATCTTTGAGGGTGTGGCAGTCAATTAGCATATTCCCTCCTTATTGGCTATGGGTGCTGCCATCTTTGCAACAGCATGAGGGTCAATTAGCATATTCCCTCTTTATTAGATAGGATTATGGCTAATTTCTAGCACCATGGTTAATTTTTATACAACAAAAGTCTCTAAACAATCACTTGAAGTTCTCTTATACTAACTCATATATTAGACATATGTCTTAAATCAGTTTTAGAAGATGAATTATAAAATAAAATACAAATGTTGATTAATGTGTTACTGTACATATAGTTAAATTCAAGACTTAACTGACATTTATTTCTAATATAATTTTTTATCCTCACTATCCATTATTATATTAATTTGTTAATACTGGTATCTGGAAATAATCTATTATTTCAGTATTAAATATAAAAAACAAAGTTTATTTTTCCTCTTTAGGAAAAACAGAATTAAATTTCTTTATGAAAGATGTTGGTTAATAAAAAAAAAAGCAGCATTTTTCCTACTTATAAAATAACATTTTTAAGAAGAAATTTTTAAAAGAAGTCAATTGAGGAAAACTAGTTTCGAAGGTGAGTTATCTAAGGTTAATGGTTAACTTGGGGAGAAAAAAGTGACAACTGGTAGAATTATGAGACTTATGAGATTGTGTCAAATGGTCAGCAGTTACTTAAGTGTGACATTCTATTTCACCTTCTGAAAGAATCTCCTGAGCTATCCAGGGTATCTTCCTGCAAGTTTTCTTCAACTTATTGGTATTTATACACTTCAATGATGTTTCCCTACCTTAAATATAGAAGTTCCATTTATTCATTTGTGTGTATGTCTATGTGTGCACACATGAGAGTGCATGAGTGTACACACATGTAAGGGTGGGCACACAGGAATATCCACTTTAAAATAAGTTTTAAATGGTATAATAATATAGTAACTACAATTACATAAAACTTTATTATTTATTTACATAAATAACATTTAAAGCTTTGATCATTAGGATTTATATTAAAATAGCTTATCTATAGGACCACCCTTCTAGACAGCAATAGAGGGCAATAAATAACTGGCATTGAATAGTTGGCAATCATGATGAATCAGGCACCAAACACTTGTTCTAATTTATTAAACTGGAAGAGAAAATTGTCAAAAATTAATTGCCCAAATGATTAAAAAGAATTTCACTATTTTCAATTTCCATAGTAAGTACATTTGATAGTCATTTTGATTGTTCATAAATACAAACATTTGTCATTCTCATGGTTTCTGTGGGTATTTAAATGCCTAAATATTTTAGTCTACACCTTGCCAGTTACATGAATTAATCTGACTTATTATTTATGAATCTATTATAACAGTTAATTAAACTTAATAAATCAATAATAGAAAGAGAAAAATGGCAGAGAAACAAGCAGGGAATTGTGTTTCTGCTCCCAGGTAGTTTTGTTTCAATAGTATGTTGTAATCCATACATAGATAGTTATTTAGTACATACCCAATAATAAAATATTAGATATAAAAAACCCACAAAATGTACAGATTCTGGAGAGATTTAAATATTTGCTGCCATATAGCAATAGTGACAAAAAATGAAATATCTGATAACTAGGTAGTAACTAAATTAACCACACTGAGTCATTTTTGCTGGTCACAATCTCAGAAGAAATTTGCAAATCAAAATCTGGGAGATAATCAAGAAGAAGGGTCAACGTATTTAATGTCAAACACCTTTTGTAGTGTACTTTCGCCCATATCCCTCTCCAATAAATAAGATGGGGTCCATATGGGAAGCAAAAATACATTTCACATTGACTTTTACAATGGTCCTGTGAAAGTAGAAAAATGTGGTAATATGACCCCTGACCTATTTATTATAAATTTATAAATTGCCTCAGCTGACTAATACAGGCTCTTTCTTCTACTTAGAGGAAAGTCTAAAGTACTTACAAAAACTCTAAGATCCTGCATGATCTTCCCACACAAATGTCTTACCATCCCATCTCTCACTACTGTCCCGTCACTCACTCCACTCAGCCATGCGGCCCTGCTGTGCCGTGAGCTGTAGACGCGCTCTCGCTCACAGCCTTGTGGCTGCCTACCCCCGCTGGCAGGAACTCTGTTCTCCCCTACATGCATATGTCTCACTTCCTCATGGCTTTCAGGTCTTTGCACAGATGCCCTTCTGTCCTACATACATCGCTTTACTTTTTGTCCTAGAAGGTCGTGTTTATTAATACACTTTATATTTCACTTATTTCTGTGTTTCTGCTTCCTCACCCTAGAATGTGAGTATGCTCTCTGTGGGCCCACCATTTAACAGCTTTGTTCACTGCTGTATCTGTGGCCCCTAGAATACAGCTCAGCATAGTAGAGCTGAACAGATACAGAGAACAGATTGGTAGTTACCAGAGGAAGGGGCTGGGGGTGAGAGAAATGGGCAAAGGGGGTGAAATGGTACAAACTTCCAGTTATCAGTTCTGAGGCTGTACAGTACTTTCCTTCAATACCCCTTCAAATTCTTACATTCTTTTATTTTGAGATACACACAATGTACTTTAGCTAACATGTAAGTGGTCAGTATTTTCTAGGTCCCTAGTTGTAAAGCAGTGCTGGGTGTCGAGGGACATGGAGATCAGCTAGCTGCCCTCATCACTGATGATGGCCGATGGGAACGGGCAACAGAAATGTAACCATGAGAGCTGTGGATAAAGCAAAGCCCCTCTGTGGGCAGCTCAGAAATGACTGAGAATGAAATATGTGAAGGATACCCACTGGTGGAAAATGAAAGCGAAGGCATTCCAAGCGACTAACAGACCACGAGCAAAAATATGAAGAAATGATAATGAATGGGGGAAAGCAGTTTAGCAGGATCAAACAAGTGAAATGTAAAACTTTGAAAAGAGCCAAATGAATGAGAGAAAATGAGTATGAATTTGTTACAAACAGAAATTAAGCAATAAAATAACAAGTGATCCATGCTTTGGATGTATTTGCTTTACAAAATTGAAGGGTGGGAAAGAAGAAAGATCTGACTGAATACATTATGTGTTTAGAAATATGTAAGCTGAGTTACATCCTTTTCTATTAAATAACCAGAAGGAAGGACAGTCCAGATTTAGACCTTTTAAATATTAAATAGATATAAAAACTAGGAAGCATTTCAAAAGTAACCAAACCTCATCAAGTTAAAATTAGAGTAACTTAAAAGAAAACATCACTTGAATAAGTCATAACTAAAAAACTATGGTGCTATCCAAAAATATATAGAAAATAAATAATGTATCATTTTTCTTAATGTCACTCAGGGCCAAAATAAAATCCATCAGTTTTAAGTTAAATGATCTAGGAAAATATGATAGCACAAAGCCAAATGACAATCTTCCCCCACCATATTTTATGAAATATACTCCCCCTGCAAAACAAACAAACAAACAATAACAACAACAACAAAAAATATCATTAGGTCAAAAACTATTTCCTCCAAACAAATTAAGCATTTATTTTTATTTCCCTGTATAAAGTACACCAGAGGGCATCCAAATAGATATAAGTGATTAGAGAAACTTCCTCTTTATAGAAGAATTTGAGCTAATCAATGTAGGAAGGATAAGAAAAGAACACCATTAGGAAAATCACTATAGGAAAATCACTATTTTGCAATGATGGGAACTTTTACGGTGGCAGGATGTGGCTGTCACCATTTGAATCTATTGATGCATTTAAGAAAAAATCTTTATTGTTGAAAGTATTATACCAGGTATATGTGCCCCACCCCCCTCCATTGACCTCTTGTAGGCTGCCCCTGTCCCCGACGCCAGGCCTTCACCACACTATTGTCTGTGTCCATGAGTTATGCACATATGCATACAAGTTCATTGGTTTATCTTTTCCCCCCCACCCAACCTTCCCTGCCTTCCCTCTTAGGGTCCAGTCTGTTCCATGCCTGGCAGGTCCAGGCCCTATGCCTCCTGTAGACAGCACACCCTGCCCCCTGCCCCTGCCAAGTATTCTTAGCAAGCAAGCAAACCAAAATTCAAGCTGAATTTACATATGTTAATGTAAGTCCCAATGAATACAGGGAAGAAGAGTTTGAAAACTTCCCCAATCGGAAGCCTTTTACAGTGGACCCATTGCTGCAAGAACGGCTATTACTGCAACTTGGCTAGATGATGGTATTTGTGGAGAGACGTGGTGGCCGAAGAATCTTCCGAGGGAAGCTGTGGTAAGTTCACAGCATTCCTTAAATGTTATACCAAGGAATGTGGATTTTCTTCTCAGACTAGCACTTCCCAAAATGTGCTCCGAGACACTGGCGTGTGATTGTCGCTTTTAAAAGGGTGGAATGGGTGCTCCTTTCTTAAAGTGAGTTTATTTATTTATTTTTTTAAAGTAAGTTTAGAGGAGCCTGTTCATCTCCATTCCTTTCCATTGGCTGAATAGTAGCAATGTTCACCAGCACACTGCTACAGAAACGGCTACCGAAATGTCATACAGCATTTCCACAAAGTACAGGTGAGCTGTTTTGGAGAGAGTTTTTATCATCCTGTAAGAAGCAAGTCTAGAAAAGAATCTCATACAAGTGTGGTCTCCTGCTGTGACCGGCATTTTGTGAAGATAACTCTAGTGGCAGTGACTTGGTGAGGCCACGCAGGAGAGCAGCTGGGATGGATCAGGGGTGAGGTGACCAAGACCTGAATGGACCAGGGCACTGACGTAGCACAGAAGCGGAAACCAGAAGACAGACTGAACACCAGGGGAAACTTAATGGCTTGTAGAGGAAGCACAATAGAATCACTAGATGCGGCTGCTGACGTTCCCAGCTCAGGTGCGTGGGACACAGGCACTGCCACGCTGGAACACAAGGAAAGGCAGCTGGGGTCACGGAGGAATGCACTTGAGTGAGATTCAGGCACTAAGGTCAGTGATCAAAGAATATATTTACTTAGAATATTTTCTTTTGAAAAATTTATGCTTTCTTATGGGCAAAATACTAAGCATATATTAGGAAATGAATCCTGCCTGTGGATTTTTTTTTCCCTTCTAAGTTGACTTAAGTCATCCTTGGTTCTACTCACCCACAAGGCCTGTATGTGAACACAATGTAACTCTCTTCATCACTTCTCTCAATGAAGGTCACGCATGTGTGCTTCTCCCAGTGCCTCATGGCCTGCTTGAACATGGCTCGCTGGCTGCCTGGAAAAACGGCATGACATTAACCAACAGTGTCTGCCCCAGAAGGGCTGCCGCACGCAGACTCCCCTGTCCCGAGTCTGGCCGAGCAGTTCAGACGCCACCACTATCATCAACCAAAGGGCATCAGCCTGGAGCACCACAAGTGAGCCATGGTTAAGGATGGACACTCACCTTATAATCAGAAGGTTCAAGCTTACTATCTCTACAAGTATGTGTGGACAGGGCCCTGGGAACGGGTCATACATGCTTCCTGTCAGTTGAAGAGAAACCAGCTTCCAGATTTAATGGACACATTTGAAACTTGGTTTAAAATCCAGGACAGTGCCTGAGACTCTTACATCTCAAGACTCAATACATTTTTCAATTACAAAACATTCTAAACTAACAACTGAGGTGAGGGGAGCATTTCTCAAGTTTGGTTTAATACTACGTTTTATAGACTAATATTCTATAAAAATGTCCCCTTTATCTGTATGATAATAATTATTTCTTTATCACAATAGACATGTGGGGGAGTATCTTACCAGTGAAGTTGCCTCCTATAACGTAAGGAATAACACCTCCGGGCCATATTCTGTCTGTTCTTGATGTAGCAGCTCTCGGAACTCGATTTTTCTCATTTTGCCCTGAGAATTTTAGAGGTACTTTTCCCTTAACTGTGTTGTTTTGCTCCAAGCCTGCAGTGACATTTAAAAGATTCTGTGAAACAAGTCCTCAGGCAGGGAGTCATTTACCCCTTAGAGGACAAAAGTTAAAATGTCTTATTTACATATTTGTATAAGTACTAGTATGTGTGAAGCCATGCACTAAAGACAAGCTTCATGTATACTACATTCTAATGAATTTTTATACAATAGCCTACAGTGGGTAGAAGTAGGGCAAACTTTGCAGGCCTCAGAAAAATTCTTTTTTTTTTTTAAATATATTTTATTGATTTTCTACAGAGAGGAAGGGAGAGAGATAGTCAGAAACATCAATGAGAGAGAAACATCGATCAGCTGCCTCCTGCACATCCCCCACTGGGGATGTGCCTGCAACCAGGTACATGCCCTTGACCGGAATCGAACCTGGGACCTTTCAGTCCGCAGGCCGACGCTCTATCCACTGAGCCAAACCGGTTTCGGCGAAAAATTCTTTTATGTAAGTATTCTACTTTAGTAGACCACTAGGAAATTCACCACCAATATAAAATACATTGTTCAAAGAGTTCTATGATATTCAAAAGTATTCTTATTCCTGCTAAATCCTTAATCATTTTTTAGCATTGATATTCTATAGGACAGATTAAAATTATGAATATTACATTAGAGAGAAAGTGAAGGAAATAACGTTAAGACAGATAAGGGCTCCGCCTCCTGGGACAATGGCTAGCTCCATCCCAATTTCCCGTGGACTCATACCCAGGTACACAGAAACATCGATGCACAGTGAACAGGTCAACATAAAATGCAGTCGATCCTGGAGCATCTTTCAAATCTGTAGTCGTTAACGTGTCTTGGTGGCCTTTCATAAATGTTTGCTACTAAATTTGCAGAATTATTTTTTCTTATTTATCTATCACTGCCAACACAAATATCCTATGGCCAGTAGACACTTCAGACACAATATATATTGACTATATGCCCTATGCCATGTCCCTAATGTATTTTTTTAAATTTCCAATTATAGTTTACATTCAATATTATTTTGTTTTAGTTTCAGGTGTACAGCATGTCTCTTTAATACCCTGGAGCAAATCATCTTTGCTTGGAAAAATTAAACCATCAATTTAAGGGGTTAGAATATGAAATTTGAACATTCTTTTAAAAAAATCCAACTCAAATCTACAAATAGGGGCTCATAAATTCAATACTATAAATATTAACTAATTATGAATCCAGGGGGCAGTTTTTCTAAATGTTTTTCTATATGTGTTTTTGGAAGGGTCAAAAAAAATTCAGCTACTCTTTAAATCTAATAAACGTTTGTCAATTTAAGTGAATTTTATTTCAAGCAGCCAGGATATTTTTCATTTGATTAAAACTGATGTAGTTCCATGGTTAATACAACACCGTGATGTGATACTCCATTACTAGAAATACTCATTAACAATACTATAAATACCTAATGCATTTTTAAATAAGGAGAAGCTGAAAATACGTTAACAAAACATTGCAATTGTCCCCCATTAAGTTCTAAAGGACTTACATCAAATATCAACTAACAATAAAAATAAGGGACTCTTTCTTAGCATATATCCTTCACATACTTTCCATCATAATGGCAAACTGAACTGCTATGAGTATAATATTTACTGTACATCAAGTCAAGCGTCTGCAACTTTAAACATTGATATACCAGAGCCAATTCTTCTTATCCTGTCTATAAGTTGGTAGAGGGCCCCTCGTTTCTTTGACATACCATGGTCTCCATATCCACCTTAAAAATAAAAATAAAATAGTTAAATCAAACTCTGTACATTGAAGCTCTTGTAAATAAACAATTATAATAGGCTACATTAATTTCTCTTGTGACATCTTTTTTTAATGTGGTCTTAGAAAGTTAAAGGCATGAATGTCCATAAATCTTAGAAGAGGAGAACAATTATACATTAGCAAATTTTGGTAACTAAAACTAAGGCTGTGAGGGGAGGTCCAGAGAGCACTCTCCATGACTTTATTTGGACAGCACGGAAACTGAGTCATCTATTGGTAATTTGAAACATTTTTCTTCGCTGTGGCAATGACATCACATGGGATGACAGCAAGTTGCTGCCCTGTTGCCTGCATTCTAGCTATTTCCCCAATGCAAACTGAACATTTGCAGACGCCAAATCAGCAAATGGAAATAAAAACAGTAGAGAAAACGGAGAGAGTGAATTTTGTTCCCAAGTTAGGATCAAAGTTACAAAAATAGATGTAAGTAATTTTATAACTTAAAAGGTAGAAGCAAGGGTCAAAAAAGGGAAATATGTTTTCTTGGAATTTTAACCACAAAGACTAGAATAGGTAGATTCCTGTCAGAAGTCAGAAAACAGATTATTTTATGAAAATCAAGTCCTCTTATTCTAGGGTTTTAATAAAAATGCTATCTCAACTTTACCACCTAGTTTCCCTTCTTGAATTTTTGATAGACAAATTACAAAGAGGTATCATTGAGCAAACAACCAATATGATCACAAATGATATCAGAACAAGTGCAAATGAACTCATACCACAAACTCATGAGTCTCTTCGGGCTAAAACAGTGAAAGAGGACCAGAAGTTCATAAAAAGAGCAATCTGGACTTTGAACTTTTGCCTCTCAATATCTGTTTTTCTCCCTTTGAAATTAACACTGTAACTTAATGACCTAGATTGAAGCTATTAACAAAATAATAAAAATTATTACCATATAAGCACCTTATCAAAAATCAATTAGGTCCTTATAAGGTAAACATGTTAGAGTGCTTGTTCACAGTCTAAGATTCTGTTTAATTATCTGCATTACATGGTCACATTTTTGCTGTGCCCCTTGAGAAAAATGTTTGAAATTTTTTTCATTGAACATTTTAGAGAGATGAGATAATACTTAAACATGTTCATTCCTAAACAGTTACAAGAAACATTTTTAAAAAATGGCATCTATATGTTTAAAGTGACCATTATTAACAATTATGTTTCATATTCTATAGGACTGAAACAGATTGTGAGAAATAAATGTCTTAGTATTAAGGTAATTAGGATTAGAGTAATTTTAGACTTGACAGATAAAATGTTTCAAGGCTATCAAAGTGAATAATGTTTTTATATTTAGGATTTTTGAATAATTTTTATAGGCATGGAAATAAAATTCTATCTAGATAGTTCACTGGAATAGAAAAAAAAATGAATGAAATAGGTGGTGATTTCTCACATATTCCAAAGACAAAATGAAAATATTCAAACTAAATAAATATTTTAGGGAAAGACCATATATTTTGAAATTAGGAAATAAGAAATAGAATCAATTCAAAATAAACTAAAAAGAAAGGAAAAAGATAAAGTAAAAAATAAAACAGAATACTTTTACATTGAAATGTAACTGAATAATGCAAACTACTTTCAAACACGTACCTTTCACATATTCATTTAGAATATGTTGTTTTTATGATTGAGAGTATAACCTGCTTTATGCTATTTACCTAAAATAACGATAGTTTTCTTCCAACTATTACTATTTCAGAGCTTAACTATAAATGGAATGACAAAATTAAATAGTATTACCATTTTTTAAATCACAGAAAATGAATTCTCCCAGTATGAAGAGAGACAATGGGTTAAAGAAATGACCTGACCAAAGTTGAAGCGAACAAAAATTTATGTAAGAAATGAAATGTAACATGATAAATCAAGGATTTGCTGAGTTGTTTCACTGCTCTCTTGTCCAAATCCATTGTCTCTGTGGCCCAGTTAAGTGTGAGATAGCAACTGGAGAGTTGTCAATACAAGTGTCCTACAGGAATGTACTATATGTGAGCACACTGCAATGTAGTGTTCCTCCTATGTTTGGGATATGTTTCAGAACCTACACATAACAAAGGTTAGAGCATACAATTCTTAAAGTACTATGTATTATCATTTTAAATAAATCTGTTAAGTTGTGTTATGATATAAATTTCTTATATGTGATAGTGGTATTTTGATTATATACGATAATATCTTTATTTTTTTTTAATATATTTTATTGATTTTTTACAGAGATGAAGGGAGAGAGATAGAGAGTCAGAAACATCGATGAGAGAGAAACATCGATCAGCCGCCTCCTGCACATCCCCTACTGGGGATGTGCCCGCAACCCAGGTACATGCCCTTGACCGGAATCGAACCTGGGACCTTTCAGTCTGCAGGCCGACGCTCTATCCACTGAGCCAAACCGGTTTCGGCGATAATATCTTTATTTTTAAGAGTGAATGCTAATCTACTTAATATAAAAATGCTATGTAGTTTGCAATTAACTTCAAAATGTTTTATGCATGCTTATGCATGTATACATGCACATACACACAGATCAAATATGATAAATGTAACAATTATTGAATCTTTAAGTGGGAATACCATTGTGGTGGTGCCTCTTACACTATCCTATCAACTTTTCCATATGTTTGAAATTTGGCATAATCAAAAGGTGCAAAAAAATCAAATTGGACAGAGATATTAATTCACAGTAAAAAGTCTTAAGCCAAGTTTTTGTCTGCTGGATACCACAAATAAACTATATATTTTATTTTCCATAGAACAGAAGAAAATAAAAATAGTACTGGGTTTGAGGGGAGATTCAATGAGATCTAAAGCACTACATTGAGTGAATATTTTAGTTATAACTACAAAAAGAATTTTTAAAGTTGCAAATGTTCTCCAAAATATAATACAGAATAAAAATCATCAAGATAATATGAACAATTTTCAAATTTTAATAAAAATACTTTAAAATGAGAACTCAAACAATCTTTTAAATATTACAAGTCTCATATAGGCACAATGTCAAACAACTATAATTGTCTTCCGGGTTTTTCTAAAAATTATATTAAAAGATAGATGAGTTTTTCTAACTAAGTCTGTGTATAATGACTCTATGAATACTTTACATTTTGCAACTGGAAATGGGAGGCAACTGAATATAATGCTCAAGAGTGACATCTGGCCTTCCTGGAATTGAGCTTTGGTCCTGACTCAGACACTGCTTGGCTGTGTGACAATAAGCAAACTCTATAACCTTCTAAACCTCAGTCTCCACATTTGTAAATCACAATTACTTTAGTATCTACCCTCTTGGGGTTCTTGGAGGGATTCAAAGAGTTAATCTCTCCAAAGCACTTAAACATCACAACTTGTTGGTTAAAGAAATTAACTAATGAAATAAAATCTATGAGCAAATCTTTAATTTCTAAATAGGCTCATTGGTGTCCAGGAAATCAAAGTTGTTGAGAGAGACATTATAGCATTCAAAGAGTATATTCTCTTCTAAATTAATGCAAATTGAAACCAATACAACCATACCTGTGGTATGTCCAAGTTTTCCAAAGGGGTTTTGGGTAAGGTCAATTGTTCTATCAATTTGAAAGATATTTAAGTCTTCATCATCTAAGGCAATATCACCCCAAAACACAGCTAAAAAAAAAAAAAGAAAAGTTCAATTAAAGTGTAAAACATTTAAAAGCAAAATCAATGCAAACAAGGCTCATTAAAAGATCAGCATAAGCCTCCTTATTGATTTGAGTCCAAAATTAACCAATCACTCAGTACTATCAGAAATCAACATGTAATAACTTTAGGAAACCACAAGCTTAAGAGAAATAATAAATTAATCATGAGATAGTAAAATATAGACAAATGCCTTGAAAGTTCCAGGATACTTGCTTTTTGATACAAGTTTACACATTTTTCTTTTTAAAATTTTGCTTTAGATTTTTCTTCTGCAAAACCAAAAGTAAGGCAACACATGAAAAATTTAGGAAGTGACAAAATCCATGCTTTTCAAATCACTGTCCTTTACTGGATTCAAACTGTAATACTTACGAATTTTAGCTATAAAATGCTAGCTAATAAAATTACTTATTTTGTGAAATTTAAACTTTAATCCTGAAAGTTATACAACGCGTTAGGCTTTGACCAAAGGTTTAACATATAAAATTATTTACCCAGTTTAGTTCCCTCGTAAAAATACTGATATGCGATAAGGGATTAGGTTTATGTACAAATCCAGAAAGGAAGAAAATAAAAATTAGTTCAATGTAGTTTATCAGTGCAACATACAGAAACATTTTTATTAGAATTAGAATTCTCTCGTTAACCCCTCTCCTGCGCTCATGTCAAGGGCATGGCAGCCTGTAGAAGTAAAGAGATGTTTGCTATCCTTTACCATCATAGAAACAAAGCAATGAAAAGTCTGTACAACAGTTTATAGCCCTGGCCAAGCGGTTGCTCTTGATTCCTCAAACTGAATCCAGATTCTAATCAGTTTCACTCACAGGCAACAGAAACCTCTGATGCTCCACTTCCCCTAAAGCCAGACATCCCAGGAAATAGTGGCCTGCCTAAATGAAATATTTTGTTATTATATAAAAGGCTTGTTAGTTTTCATAAAAGTAAATTTCGCATTGTCTTTTTTTTTTCTTCAAGATTTCACCCTACTTTAAAGTAAATCCAAATTTGGTAATTATTTAAATCTTCCATCACATGTATTTATTATACAAATTGTTGTGGGCACTGACTGGCAGTGACTCTCAGCCTGGCTTGCTTCCTTAGTGCGGGGGTGGGGGTGGGGGAAAAAAATGAGTGCGGTTGGGGGGGGGGGATAAGGGGGGGCAGCTGGAGACACTAATGCTTCTCTAGCACCAGTTTGCATAGGAATCACAGTGGACTTGGTTAAAATGCAAGCTCTGATTTAGCTGGTCTGGAGAGAGGCCTCAAACCCTACATTTTTAACAAGCTCCCATTAGTACAAATAATTACCATTATCATCATCTATATTATTAGTATTTTTTTTTTCCTGCAAGAATAAACTTTTCCTTTCTTCTGAATCAGCTGGTTGACTTGAAAGCTGAGGCATTCAACCAAACAAAACACAGTTTGTCAGTACCACATTTATATAATAAAAGTAGTATGGTAAAATAAAACTCAAATGTGTTTTCGATTTTTATTTTCTTGTAATGACTTTTCACGTGCAATAGGATTCATGTCTTGATGGATTATATCAAACAGAGATCAGCAGTCCAAGGATACAATCCTTCACAGAAGCAAAAACATTACTTCTGGGGAGACGAAAAGGCACAAGGCCAGACAATTCTTAAGAGGAGACAAAACTTTTCTGGCGCGCATAAGCTCATTTCTTATTTGTCATTTTTTCCGAACTAATAGCTTCAGAAGAGTTAGGTGGTTCTCAATATGCCAGGAACTGCTTCAGGAGAAAACCAAATATTTCTTTGAAAACAAGTAGTTGTGAGTGACTAAGCCAATTCATTTACGTGTAAACTTGATAGCCTGTAAGTCTTATCGATCTTGAAAATTTGATATGATTATTAGAAAAAAATAGACATATTGGAATTTTCAATCTAATACAATTTTTTTTAATATTTATTGATTTGAGAGAGCAAGAGGAAAGGAGAGGAAGAAAGGAAGGAAGGAAGGAAGGAAGGAAGAAAGGGAGAGAAAGAAACCCCAATTTGTTGTTCCACTTATTTATGCATTCATTGCTGATTCTTGTATGTGTCCTGACTGGGATCAGACCTGCAAGCTTGGCTATCGGGACAATGCTCTACCCAGCTGAGCTACCCAGCCCGGGCAGCTATCACATAGATTAAAATGCACAATTTCTTTCTGTATATTTCACACGTTTAAAGTTTTCCTTAAGGTGTCCTATTTCATCATGCTTAAAATATTTTACTTATCATTGGTATAGCATACTGGATCAAGACAATTGATATTAATGTGGATTTAGAATTTGCATTATAATCTAATATATATTTGTTATTTAGCTCCGAAATATTTGTAATTCTCAAGTGCACTTTGGAGTTTTCTGTTTTTCTTTCTACAGGGTATTTTCTATTTATTTTGCATTAAAAAACGAAACTAGAGAGAAGGTTTTTAAACTATGAATTATCACTCCTGTGCTCCATTTAACAGAGTGATTTGAGGCTAGTGAGAGCAGAACTTGAAGCAATATAGGAAGCCGGTTATAGATGACAGTACAAGGGAAGGGCCCAAGTGCAATTATAATATTTCCTATCTGGAATTCTGCTTGGATTCCTATGGTCAAAAATGGGTTGAGAGCTAACCAGTAATTCAAAATGTCAAAAAGAACGATTTTTAAACTACATGGAAAACCACAGGTTTTGTTTTTCTCCTGAAGACTATGTGCATTCATTGTACTACAAAAAAATTTTTAATCGGAGACCAAGAAAGACAAAATAAACACATTTTAGAAAAGAGTGTTTGTGAGAATACGTAGTCCAACACTGTGGTTCCCTATACCCTAACTTCACACCGTGTCTGTTCCACTCACTTCCAGATCCCCCAGTGATCCTCCGCCCTGCAGCTTTGAAGCTGGGGTCCAGGGACCAGCTTCAAGGAGGCTTCCAATCTGTGATTTCCTAAAAGCTGTCTGCAAAAAATATGCATGCGTTTATGAACACAGTCACCACATGTCCTGCAGGGGAACGGTCACCGGTGGACCACACAAAGTAAAGAACCACTACTGATGTCAAAAGCAGAGCCTTTCAGTCGACTCTGGAGAAAATACTTGCAAACTCAATACCCTCAGGAAGATGAATATATTTACTTGAATGAATGCTAAGACATCTGATAGCGGATTACTGCTTAGAGGAACTCTAATAGACAAGTGGCTAAGAGCCTCCTCAGGCAGCAGCGACAGAAAGCCCTCCCGGCAACCTGGTGTTCCCGACTAACCATTAGGTGTCTCATCGTTTCCATGTCCTGCCTGCACTTCTCTCAGAAATAAAGCAACACATGGGCTTTCATAATATGTTTTCAACCATCTGATTCCTCAATCTCAATTTAAAAACACCGACCGCAGGAAGCATGTGCTGCTGCTCACCAGTAACCCTCACTGCCAGAGGGCCTGACATAAAGTAGGGCCTCAATGTGTGTCCTAAGGCACAAAGAAAATATAAATAAGAAATGCCACGGAATGGGGGATACAAAGCGTACAGCAAAGGGGAGGCTAGCCATGCTACATACTTCACAAATTTATCTTAAGACCTAAAATACCAGATATGCAACCATTCCAAAGAAGGAGTATTTCAAATTCGTCCCATCTAAAATGGATTAATTGTTTAATAAAAAACAATTAAAAGGCAGCTGCTGCCTTTCGTCATTATTTCAGTAGTATATATTAAGTGTAGTTATGGAAAATGTGTCCCCTTTTTTTTAAGTCCCACACTGATATGCTCAGAAAATGCATGACTGAACTAAACAGATCAGATATCATGAGATTTATGGGATTTGGAGAGATAGCTCAAAGACTCAACAATAGCCGAGAGCACTTTCTTATTACACACTTTTTTCCATATAGATCTTGAACTTTCTGCTTTTATTGATATTGGATTTAGGGAGGAAACATTGTGTCATGTGAAGGCCTGCTCCAGTCTCCAAGAAAGGCCTAGTGAAAATTTCCTCAGACAAGAGCAACAGTGAAGGCTCAAAAGTCAAATATTTTTACATGATTGACAACCTCTAAGAAAATTCCCAAGGAAAAGTAAGATCTAGCAAAACTTCTAATATATACATTTTGAAGACAATGTTTCACTACTTAAAAAAGAAAACAATTTTCTGGTGTCATTTCATATGCACACACTAATTTTTTTCTTCCATGATGACACATATGAAAGTTAACTTACGTTCCAAGAAACAATTATCCAAAATTTTAAAAGCTCTTGATACAATACAAAGATAAAGAAAGATACATTCTTATATAGACTCTCAGAAATACTCTTCTAAAGAATAAGGGTAAGAATGTTTTCCATCTAGCACATTCTTAAATTTCTAATAATAAAAAAGTATTTGCAATCCAGTTATTTCAGTGTTTTTTTCTTTCCTTAAGAAAGCATCCCATGCAGTATTTTATTTAAATAATTTATACTTTTTTTTCAAGATCTGCATTTTCACTTCTACCGTATACTATCACAAACTGAACAAATTCATCCAAACTACAATTAAAGAGTGTGCATACAGTTAGCTACAAATGATGAGCTCAATAAGATGTGCAACCTTTCCCTCATAAACTGAATTAAAAGGTGCTTCTGAGTAACATGACTCTTATGTGGCCACTTTAAAACAAGATGCCTTTATCTACCAAAGCAGATTTTTTTTTGGAGTGGGGGTGGGGGTGTGGTGCAATAGACTGTTTGGATCACTGGTTATTAAAATAAATAAATAAGTAAACTGTCCAAACATTCTCCAAATTTAGAGGTCCCTTCACAGAACAAAGAACTGCTGCAAGAGTTAAACACAGTCTTCTTGCCGAAACCGGTTTGGCTCAGTGGATAGAGCGTAGGTCTGCGGACTGAAAGGTCCTGGGTTTGATTCCAGTCAGGGGCATGTACCTGGGTTGTGGGCACATCCCCAGTAGGAGGTGTGTAGGAGGCAGCTGA